AGATTGAAATATTAAACTAAACTGCAATTGAAAAACTTGTTTTAATGCAATTTTACACTTGGAAAAATAAGTTAAATATAAGTTTTCCCATAAGCACAATTCAATGCTTTTAATATTTGCTAGTAAGTTTATAAGATACATTTGCTTGCCCTTTTCCGCGAGTATTTGTAAATAAATACTTTTCTTAAATATTATTTTTTTTTTTGAATTTTATTGCTGGAGGATTTGATTCATTGATTTCGATTGCGCTACTTAATTTACATTTAAACAAAAACTAGAAATATAGTTTCAGAAGTATTGAAATATTGACTGATTTTATTATCTCGCCTATGAAAACATTTTAAAAATAGAAATTACATCTCAATTCTGTTTGTTGAATACTCTTGGTGCAATTTTATTTCTGGTGCAGAAAATAAACTTTTTGCTTTATTGTTTTACATCATTTCACTTGAGTGCTTTTCAGGTTATTATTTTCTTATATATATTTTTTTTATTATTGTATTATTTTGCATAACATTTTTAGAGTTTTTATTGCTTTTCGTTTTGCAAAATAACTTAATTCCATGTGCATTCGAAACAAGACTAAACAATAATTATTGCAGATGCAAGGCATTCGACGGCTCGATCGATTTGTATTCAATTTCAAAATTCTGTTTTGATAAGTTTTGATGACCCACTTCGATTTACATGCAAATTTGATTTTATGGTCTTGCAGTTCTTACTCTTTATCCTTTTCTGAAATTTCATGAAAAAATATTTAATTTTTTTGCATTTAAATTTAATTGGTTTCCTAATGTTTTTGAAGATATTTAATCGAATATTGTTCTTATTTATGCGAAATGCTGACGTAGGCCGTCTGAGTTGTTCACTGTTTAAGTTGATTTTTATTATTTATTTGCGGGTTTGCCAAAGTATTACGATTTTCTGCAAATAATACAAAAAATGCAAAAAATACTCCTGTGGTGCTACGACGTACTCTCGTAATAAATCCGTGCAACTTGAGTCAAGGCACTACCAACGGATTATGTGCATTTCATATGCTTTTATTACTGCATGTTGATTGTGTATTTAATCTGATTTCTAAACAATTCTTTATTTTTATTTTTTTATTTGTTTTATTTTTATATATGCAGATCATAAATAATTTTACGATTTCACGAATGTGGAGCGTTGGGGCTAATACTCAGATTTTTGTCGACACTGTTTTATAAAAATTTGTTTGTTTACATTTTGAATTTACCCAATTTTTTGCACAATCGTGTTTAGTTTTGTATTTCCTTGTAAACTGAATTTTTATGTCAAACCAAATATGTTTTATTAATTTTTATTTATCTGTGTGTCTGCCTGCCTGTATTATTGATTCATGTATGCCAAATGCATAAACAAATTTTATAAAATGAAATTTTAATTATGAAACATAATTTCTTCACTCGAATTCGAGTTTCGCAATGTATTTCAAATAATACAGATTTCCTTTTCCTAAAAGCATTTTTTCTTTTTAAATTTGTATTTCATTAGTAATAGCTTTGCAAATAGAAATATATATTGAATTGATATTGAATTTAAAATTATGGAAATTTCAAATTTAATTGGAATGTGATGATAAATATATATTAGTTGCAAAATAAAAAAAAATAAAAAAAGTGGTGCGAAATACCGTTGAAAACTCATGTTTAAACATTAGATGCAAACGTTAAGTGATAAGATCAATATCGGTATTCCATGTATTTGTAGACTCCACAAAAAGCGAATTGTACTTTCGATATATTAGAGTAGTTTTACAATATTGTGTACCATGTGATAATGACAATTTATTTAAAGTGTCATTACAAAGATATTTTTTTCATTTTAGTGCGCTTAATCGATATCACATGTATTTTTAGATTTATCCTTTAGTGTGCACATTTCAGACATGTAAATTTGTATAAAATTATTAAATAAAGCACAAAAAAAATCATTCATAATTTAAAATTTATGTCACCACCTTTAAAGAGGGTGCAATGTTATCATTATTTGAACTTGTATCGAGTGCAATACTACTATACCAGCTTTCAACGATATGGCGGTAAATAAAAACCGGGTTCAAAAAATTTGAGCTACATTTTGTTTTTTATAATATTTCGGCATAATTATTCAAAACTCGAGGGGAGCCTTAAATCCTTAGAGGACGCGTCGCAGGTGGCGGATAGCGATTGTTTTCCAGATATGGGTGGTAAGAGGGAAATGAAATACCTCCCGAGAACCAAACAGGCTGGCGATGGAAAACTTCGATATCAAATCCCTGACATAAGCTGATTAAAGTATACCTCTTTGTTCCAGGTTATGCTCGGCGCTGCATACTTAGTGGACAGGAGGTTGCAGAAGAGAAGGCGGCGGAGGAATCGAACAACGACGGCCCTCACAGTTTAAAAGCAAGTTACTGTCCGGGGAAAGCAATCCTTGAGCTCATCAATCATAGAATCACTGTTTTCACTGAATTTAAACGTTAACGGAATATCCAGGGGTAGCCATAATTTTATGTAAAATCCTTTTACCACGGCAACAAGCACAACGGTTTTGGAGGTGCAAAGTTCAAGTCACAAAACATTGATGAATGAAACCGAAACGATACGAAGAAACCAAAATTGGAGAGGTTTAGGAAGAAAAGAAGAGTTATATATCTGAACATGGAATGTGCGAACATTAAATTAATGTGGAAAGCTGGAACAACTACGAAGAATTCGTAAACAGTTTAATGTTGAAATATTGGCAATACAAGAAAGTCGTTGGAACGGATATGGTCAACTATCAGACAATGAAAGTCTCTTTTTATACTCCGGCAAAGAAAAAGGAGATATCCACCAAAGCGGAGTTGGTTTTCTTATGTCCTCAAATATTGCTTGCAAACTGGAATTGCATCCTATCAGCGACAGATTGATAATACTAAAACCAAAAACTCGAGCTTGACGAATGGTCATTATTAATTGTTATGCACCAACTTAAACGTAAACAGATGACGTTTATAACACACCAAAGAAAGAGATATTGTCATCTACTTGGAGATGTGAACGCCAAAATCGAAGAAAATAACGCCGGTTCTGAAAAAGTAATGGGAAAGTATGAAAGTGGTACACAAAATGATACTGGGTAGAGTTTTCTTGAGCTATGCTCTTCGCCTCTTGTAGGCGAAACATTATATATTCAAAAACCAGTTCATAAGATAACTTGGGTATTTCCAAACGGATCTGTGAAAAACCAAATACATCACATTATAATTAACAGAAAGTGGAGGTCGTAGCTCCCAGATGTAAGAACCAAAAGGGGAGCAGATATTGGAAGCGACCATTACCTCGTACGAGCAAACTTTAGAATAAAATTGGCAGCCGTCAAGAAGATCGCAAACAAAAGACCGCGAAAAATCAACTTAAGCAAACTAAAAGACCTCCAGCATGCAATTCAATTTACCTGAAGTCCAAGAGCCGCCTACGAAACTTCGAGAAGTACAAATAAGAAAATGTACATCAAAATGTAAACGATATGGGAAAGTTGGCTTTAAATATGTAAATGTAAACTTAAGACAGGAATATAAGATAATATATAATAAATGTAAAGATATAGAACAAATAATGACATAAGAAACTTAAGGATATAAGAAAAGTAAGGATATACAATATGTAATAATAGAAAATTATTAAAAAATATATAAATGAAATGAAATTTATGAAGAATCAATAAACTCTTAGAAACACGAAACACGTCTAATAAAAAGTAGAACTAATAAAACGTTAAAACCACGTGCAATCAATATTCATATATAAATATGGAAAGCTCCAATTATTATTCCTTTTAAAAGAGGTCATTTTTAACTAAATTTATTTAATATATTATACAGATCCCATTATTAATGGCTTAGCGCCAGCTTAGCATACTTGACTACCGTATATTTTAAGATCACATTTTCATATATATTTCGCTATTAACTATTTATTTAAATAAATATTTTTGAATTTTAATTTTTAAGTTTTTTAAAAATAATTGAAATGTTCGAGTTATTGTCGTATGTTTTATTCTTATCATTTTGTGTGTTTTTTTTTCATTTAATTTAAAAAGTTTTTTTTGCATGTCAAACATTTATCAGTTCCAATTATAAATGAATCTCTTGGAATAAATTATGAATCAATAATACACGTTTTACATACAAATCGATAAAATATTCAAATAATAAATTATGAAAAATTTGCTCTAAATTCTATTTCTGAGTTTCAGTATTTATTTATTTATTTGTTTTTTTTTTCGTTCGTTTTGTTTCGTTATCAAAAGAATTCTTATTCATTTCATTAAAACTTAAAACCGTTATCAATGCAAACCACAAACTAAGCAAAAAAAGAACAACGCTAAAAATGTTAACAGAAAATTTTATCTCTCTGACTAGATACAATAGCGCTGAGTATTTTTCAAAAATTTATTTATTATTTTATTATTATTATTTTTTTTTTTTGAAATTGTTTAAAAGAAAGAGGAAGGCATTGAAGCGTTTCGACAATTTGTATACAATTTTTTTTCGTAGATATCAGCAAAAATATTATAAAGCATGATATCATCGTCTTCAACGGAAATCCATACGCATAAAAAATTTTTAAACTACAAAACTAATGTTTACATGCACAATCTGCTATTTTTTTCTTTTTTTTTTTTTGTATTTTCTTCATTTTGCAATTCACAGTAGTTCATGTAAACAAATTTTTTTTGAAAAACTTGCCTTAGAGATACAAAATTTATAAATTTCTTTATTGTATTAATTGTGCAATCAAGTGAAATTCCAAAGCATTCTGATAGGCGTTTATAAGGGTTCGTCTATTTGTAGTTCACAAGCTATAAAAGCAAAATTTTGCCAAACTGCATTAACTATTTTAAGTTATAGAAATGTACGATGTACTATTTTAAATAAAAACCAAAAATTTAAAAGCCTTAGATAAATAAAAAAAAATAAATTATAAATAAATTTGTAATTCTCTTTTTAGGCCTGCATCGATGATAATTTAGAAATGGTTGAGTTTCTTGTTGAACATGGCGCAGACATCAATCGACAAGACAATGAAGGTTGGACTCCGTTACATGCAACAGCCTCATGCGGGTAAGTTGTGTAAATTAATTCAAGCATTGAATTTCTTTATGCTTTTTAAATGTTAAATGTAATTAACTTGAATTTAATTTTTTATTTTCTAAATTTCCCATTAATAAATTTACTCGTTTTTATTTCTTATATTTAACTTTAAAAAGCTTTGTAAGCATAGCACGTTATTTGGTGGAACATGGTGCCGAAGTTGCTGCTGTCAATAGTGACGGCGATTTAGCCGTTGACTTGGCTGTTGACATACAACACTTGCCAATGATGGATTTCATGCAGAAAATGGTTACTGAACTCAATATCGATTGTGAGAAAGCGCGAAAAGCCGAAGAACAATTAATGCTCAATGATGCCAAAAAGTGGTTGAGAAGTGATGCCTCCGAAGTAGATCGACCACATCCAAAAACTGGTGCAACAGCGCTGCATGTAGCTGCAGCAAAAGGTTATACAAAGGTAACCGCCGTTTTGTTTTTATTATTACAAAATCTTCAAATAATATTGGAGCTAATCAAAACTTCGAGCATTTTGATTAATGTTAAAGTAAACTTGTGTTTAAACACAGCCAGTCTCTTGAATATGCTTAAACACCATATTTCCAAACAGTATTTGCAGTAAGATGTATTTATGTATGAAAATGCACAAGTATATTTGAGCTATTAAAATTGTAGGTTTCGATTATATTGCACTAATTATTTTATTCATTACTAATAAAATAAGGGCGTACCCAGAACTTGAAGAAGGCGTATTTATGTCCAAAATACTTAGGCAGATTTTTGAATTCAAGTATTGTGATGTTCGAACACATTAAAACAATAATTTTTACTTATAATTATTGATAAATATGCGAATATCCAGAACTCTTAAAGGGTAGGGCGATGGGGGTTAAACGCATTTACATAATACAACCAGCAGCTCGATCATTTTCGAATATGGCAATCTTCAAACACATTGATGTAATAAAATATTACTTCATATTATTGATGAATATAAGCCTAAATAAAAGTCAAAAAAGGGAGGAAGTGTTGATTGAGAAGTGAGGGGTAGATAAGGTTACTTTGCGTATGGACGGTCATATACATATTTCTATGAATAACATTTAACATTAAACCTCAATAATTTACAAAACTGTAATAATTTTATATAGATTTATATTGAGACTATAATCGTAATCCTATAGGTGGCAATATTATTCCCAGTATGGAATTCTGTAAAACACGTTGGAATAATATCTATGTAAGTCCAAATTCAAGACTTCAAATTTAGACCGATTGTTATTGATATTAAATGTCAGCAATTTCTTCTTAAATGTCACATAGTTAATGGATTAGTAAATTTTCCTCAACACATTACATTTATCGATCCATCATTGCAAGCCAGCCTTCCTTACTAATGTAGGCATACAGTGCGACACTATTATGTAGCTTTACAGAAATCCTGACTTCTGGCTCTTAGGTAAAAATACAACTACTAAGGACAGCAAAAACTGTTTAAAACATATACATGCTTACTTACTTATCACTACATATATATAAAATGCGACGATTGATCTGTCCTATTAAAATGATCAAATCAAAAGATATTTAATATATTAAAAAGTCGTATGTGATTTAAGTTATTCAAATGAAATGCTTAAGATATTCGACGTTTTTTAAATATTGAAAATAAACCCTCTCCAACGCATACCATTTTTTCTTACTCGCACCACATATACTTACGAGGTTAAACCTAATCCTTAAGCTTTAAACTTACAAAAGTATAAATCTATTTTTGTTAGTTTTTCAAGCTTCGGTGTTTTTAATCCTTTATACATTACGGTGATGCTTATATAAAACAAATAAAATAAATAAAATGTTTGTTTTATTTTTATATATTTAATTGTTTATGTAACCATTTATACATAATATGTAAAAGGATATTTCAATAGTTATGTTTGTTCTTTATTATAATATAATAGAGCAGGGCTGTCCGATGAGATGCAATCGCGGGCTAATACCAATCATTGATATGGCCCGCGGGTCATGCTTTGTAGAGTAGTAGAGTACTTTAATGATTTGTTTCAGTTTTGTAAAATTGCTTAAATTTTATTTTAAATAGGTTCTAGGACTACTCTTAGCTGGTAGGGCTAATGTCGATAAACAAGATAATGATGGTTGGACACCGTTACATGCGGCATCGCACTGGGGTCAAAAGGAGGCTGCTGAAATGCTTGTCGATGCTATGGCGGATATAGATATGCGAAACTATGCAGGTCAGACATGCATTGATGTGGCAGAACGTAAAATGGTTAAATTCCTTGAGGAACTGCGTGCAAGTAAACGAATAAAACGTCGTCCATCTAGTCAAATCAGGTTAAACTGTTTGCAAATAATCTGTGAATTACATATAATTTAATATTTTTTGTTTTTGAAAATATTATATAGAATCTCAGATACAATAGAAAATCACATTGACAATGCGCCAACAAAGATAATACGCGTTGAAGTCAAAAATGAGCTTGCGATGAAGGAACAGCCTAATGGTAAGTTGATTTTTAAATATATTTTATTTAATTAAATTTTTTTTACATACTATATGCGCAAAATTCTTTTTAATTAAATATTTATTCTCTTCTTCTGAATGTTTATAAACGTTTCACATATGCGTGACATACATTTCGTTTCATTTTGTTTTCTAAATTAAAATAAAATTAGGTTCTCATGCGCGTTAATTTCTATAACAAAATGTAGTCTTTTTTTATTACATTATTAAAATATTTTTAGTTTAATTTTAATTGTTGTTGGTCCCTTAGTTAGATTCATTGAAATGTTTAATTTCTACTGCCATTTTGTGCATTTTTATCTTAATTATGTATATATAATAGACACTCTTTTGTACACTTCATCAAATGATATATATAATCTAAAACAATTCCTTCAACGTTTGTTTTCTTGTAAATTTTGTGCTCTCTCAAAACCTTACATATTGTTATGGTGATGTCATGCCTTGGGTTATTGTTACATATCCTTAACACTCATTGTCTTATACACTGCAGTAACAGGCGTTTCCGAAACATTGCAAACAATAAATGATGAACAAGATCAGCATAATTTATCGCGTATATCCGAATGTGAAGAAACTGACTCCGATCTCACCGACTCAACAGAAAGCTCACATTCAACAAGTCTTTCCGAACCTGAAGGTATTTTTAACTTGAAACAAAAAAAATTTGTTAAAATTTTAGTTATTGTTTTGTTAGTAAATGTTAAGTTCCGTTTATAATGTTTATGTATTTTTTTTTTGTTTTTAAATAAACAACAATAAATAATTTGACTTTTTTATTGCTAAAGAGAATTCGAATATTGTTTTGCGAATAATTAAAATATAAAATTAATTATAATAGTTTTAATGAATTAAGAAGTATTTAACTGATTTATAGAACTAATTTGAAGTATATATTTTATAAAAAAATCTTCCAAGTTTTCTGAACAGTAATTTTTAAAATACGAATATATCAAATCCGTACGCAGTTTTATTTAACTCTTGAACAGATTTTGGTTATATGCTACTAGAGACCGATAATCATGCTATTTAGTTAAACTAATATTTTTAAGTATTGATAAGATGGTACAAATCCTCATTTTTATTATCGTATTTCTTTATGAACATTTTTCTTTGTATGTGCTAAAAAAAACTCCAGGACTACTTCTTTGCTTAATGTGCTATTAAACCCTGTTTACTTAATTATTTTTTTAGTTATAAATTATAAATTTTTTATAATTATTTCATTTAATATGAAAAAATTCTTTTAATAGATGAAAAACCGAAGTTAGTAGCAGATTCATTTAAACCAGCTGATCAAAGTTCTGAAGAGGAAGCACCATGGAGACGTAATAGTTTCGTGCGTTTACGTTTGCAAAATGAAACACCAGTTAAAAATCGTAAGAATTGCATTGTTTTATAAAAATTTCTTTCTTAATTGATTCCTCTAACATAATTTTATCTTATTTATCTCACAGAAGTTCCTGATAAAGAAATTAGTAAAGTAAATAACACAACAGAGTCATCGTCATCTGACGTCATATTGCGACGCACTCAAAGCTTCGAGAATGACAAGTGAGTAAAAATGTTATTGTTTTATGACTTGTTAGGTATATTATTTAACGCATTTATCATTTTTAAATATTTGTGAAAATATTTATTTATATTATTATTATCATTTTCAATACTGTGTTTGTGTCATGCTTTTGCGATTGGAAGGCAAATAATGGGACTGCATTGTTGTTTTTTTTTGTTGCTTTTACATTATTTATTCTTTTTATTATTGCTTTTATTCATTTAAAAATATTATGAATGAAGGGTATTTTATGGTATATTTTATAAAATTAAATTGATATATTTTTATATCAAAAACGGATTACTTATATAATAAAATGATGCAAAAATATTTGTACTAAGTGAAGTTATAAATATTATTTTATACAATTTTTTTTTTCATATAGGTTAGGTTAGAGCCATGATCTTAAGACTTTAAGGTTTATTGGACTATTATGTAGTCATATAAAAGTGGGGAGGTTTTAAAGCTATTTCATATCTTAATAAAGTTTAAAATGGTCTTTAAATAACAGTTTTGTTATTTGAGAAGTATATCTGATTAAAATCTTTTAAAAAAGGTCTTCACCGTTTTTTTTTATACATCATAAAGAATTCTTAAGATATTTCTTACAGCTTTTAGTTAGATAGACATATTATTGAAATATTGTTTATAAATAAATATAAAGTTGTTGCACCTTTTCATTTTGTTTTTATTATATTTTATATGGAAGAAAATGTAGTAGTAACGAATGTAGAAATATTCTATCATTGGCTATTCTGTATAACGAATAGAATAAAATAAAAGAGAATTGAATAGAATCACATGTAATAAAATTTAAAAGAAATTTATAACTACATATCTACATTGAATAGATAATATATGCACCAACAAAATTGAAACAGAGCAGCTGATTTTTAAATTAAACAAGTTTAAAAATCGATTTTTCGTTAGAACACATTTTACTCTTTTAATGTGTTAATATAGTTTTAGATAAAGCAGTCTAGTTATTGAATTTATGCCTTCATTATATGTTTCTAATATAATACAAAAAATGTATGATTCTTAAATTCACTAAATCGGCTTGAAGCCATCTTAACATTAAAGTACAATTAACGAGTTTAATGACAACCCAGTCCATTTATTTAAATTATTCTTATTTTATGTGTATATAATATTATATTCTACTTGTTTAAATATTAATTTCTTACTAATAATTTCTTATAAATATTACTGTATATATATTTTTCGTGTGGTTGAAATATTCAATATAAAAATAATTATCTTTATTTAACTAATACTTCTTACTTCAGTAGAAGTAATTAGTAGTTATCTTTTTTACATTTTATAGTAGAAGAAAAGTAGTAGTTATACTGAGAACTAAAAAAAATTGTAAATAAACTTACGTACTAATATATTCTTAAATTTTTAAAATATTTTTTTTTTTATTTGTACTGTATTGTACTATTATTTTATTTGTTTAGTTATTCATATAAACAAATATTCCTGTTGAACGCGTTTATTTATAAAACGAAAGTTTTATGAATGCCAGTAATTATTTTTAGTGTTAGAATCTATTATCCATCGAGTTATCTTGCACTTTTGCCTTTAATAATAAATAATAATTAAACTTTCATATCTATTCTAAAAAAAAAAATGAAGCTAGTAATTGTAAGAAATTGGTTATGTTGACGCGATCATTGCTAATTTTAAATATTATATATATACGTATATTAAAGAAATCTTTTTTCTGCTCCATAAATATAGAAATAATGTGCAAAATATTACTAACTCACAATTGTAGGAAATTTTCTATGATGATAAAGTTTTATATAAAATTAGTAATACTATAGAAATCAATTATATGTACTTAATATTTATCTAATATTGCTTATCAGTTTTGTACTGAATCACCTTTCACTGTTTCTCGGTGAAAATCGCATAATGAAACAGAAATAAATATTAACTCTGCCCCTTTTTAACTGTTATGCATTTGTTTTGAAATAGTTTTCTTTGGTACGCAATTGCTGACACAAACACGGTAAAAATTCGCAGACGTTGTGCAATTTAATTTATATTTTAAGTAAAATTATTTTGTTATTTATTTGAATTATTTAAAACAATACTAATTTATTAATATTATTTTTATTTGCGTTTCATTAATAATTTTATAAACATCAAATATTCCCGTGCAAAATCATCAATTTCATCAACATGGTTTTAACCTTAAAATTTAACGAATTGATTGGATTACTAAACAATATAAAAATGCTTTCAAATTAAAAAATATTTTAATATATATATATTAATAAACAATTTGTTTGAAATGCGATAAAGATTCTATCAAAAATATCATGAGCTGCGTGCACGTATCAAAGCTAACTCATGTCCTATACTGCCGGCTACACAAATAAGCAACATGAACAATAATAACAATAATAATAACAATAACAACAGTAATATTACAAATAATATCACAAGCGTACTAAGCAACGTTAATAGCACCAATCCTAATACCAATACCAATACCATCACAAATCAAAATTATTCCGTACAAAGATCGGCTTCGCTTAAAGAACACAGAAACTTCAGGTTTGTTTTTATTATTGTTTGTTTCTTTCGTCTTAAATTAATAATAATTTGTTTTATAATTTTATTAATTTTTTCATTTTCCTGCTTATTTACTGCTAAATTGCTTATTGAATGCATTGTTTTTAACAAAAAAAATTTTTTTTTTGAGTGTAAATATTGTAACTAACTTTTCATCTATATTGATGTATAACATTTATATAATTAAAATACGGTATTCTTTATCCAATAGGAAACCCATTACACCACCTATAAGTTCAGCTGCTCCAGCTTCTGTATCCATTGCAACAACAACAACAACTGCAAACACAACTTCAGTGATTGCAGCTCCAATCAGAAGGTAAATAAAGTATTTTTATTGATATACATATAAATATGCAGTGAAAAGGTTGTGTTAAACTCTTTTTCCTATGCTTTTTTTAAACACTTCAACGTTCTTTAGCACTCCTAGTTCAACTACAAATAATCTTGTTACAAATAATGCTACAAAAACTGTCAATAATAATGACAACAAACAAGCACCATCAAGTCCATCTACACCCGAAGCCACCAAGCAGAAAATGTCTGCAGGAACAATTTTCAAAAATTTCTTTAAGTAAATATTCTTACAATAATGCAAATTACTATGCTGATAAGCTTGCATTTGTAACACTTTGCATTAAATTGACTAAAAAGTTGCATTCGATTATTGTTAAAGCTCTAAAATGACTAACATTATTGTTCTATTGGTCGTGTTCCACAAATTTGATTAAAAATTACAAGTACTTAGAAAAACTTAAGTCAGGTAAAGAACTTTTTAGGTTAAACAATTTGATTTAATTTAAAACAATACCTCCAGCTCAAAAAGTACCTGGATTTTATAAATAAAACATAAATTTAAATTTTATTCCAAATTTATTTTATCTCCTTCAAAATATACTCCTTCTGAAGCGATACACATACGCCAACGCTTTACCCAATCTTCCATACACTTTTCGCAGGCCCGTGCAGGTATGGCTTTTAGTTCCTTCGGCGAATTCTTTTTTACCGATTCAATCGACTTAAAAGGCTTACCACGAAGGGGCACTTTGAGTTTCGGGAACAGGAAAAAGTCGCACGGCGCCACATCTGGCGAATATGGTGCCTGAGCGATGACAGTGGTGCCGTGTTTGGTCAATAAAACGCGTACAACAAGAATTTTCCATAGTAAAAATCGCTAAATGCACTTGAGGTAGTCTCACATTAACAGCTACTGTAAACAAACTAATTGACAGATGGCGCACAAAAAATCCGGATACTTTTTGAGCAGAAGGTATATAGCCTATGTGCGAGTTGAATGAAATTGACTAAACTTTATTTTTTTTTGGCTGTGCATTCACTTAGTTCATAAAAACATTCGAGTTGAATTTTGACAACTATCTAGCGTAAAGTGCATTCAAATGTCAAAAACTTACAAAACAATAAAGTAATATTGTCAGTAATGTGAAGGAAAAATATTGACAAAAGTTATGCCGAAGACTCATAAGATAAGGAAAAGTATACTTCCATCGTTAATATTTAAACTTAATATAAAATTGTTTCTTACAAACTTAGAGCCGTTCGACACATCCCAAAGGGACTTCACAATCATGTCCTAGCGGTTTACAACAATAACAACAATACAGACTTACATAGAGATCAACGTAGCGTAATCCCAGAAATTTTCACACGCAGCAAGACAATACAATTTTTCAACACAATCGACTCACATCTGAATATTATTATCTCCTTTATATCTTGTCATGAAATCTTGAGTCAGTGGGTTTAAAAATAGTCGTTCATCATCTCCGTTATTATAATAAACGAGCTATTCAAGGTCTATAAACTTTATAGGGAAAAGTTAGCAACAAAAAACTTCCTTATGAATAGTCCATATTTGTGGTAAAACTACATATATATAATTTTCTGGGTAAAATAACCAAGGTTTTTGACCAAAACTATTCTAATCTACTGAGGTCAAGTTATGGCAATTGCTTGTCATATTATTATATATGATAAACTATCATTATTTAGTCAGATAATTAGTTTATTTTTTCCATATTATTTCTTGGTTTCATCTTTGTTAAGACCTATGTAGGATTAATATTCTTGAAAAAGGCTACTACTGGTATTTAATATCTTGGCCAAAAATGAGATTTAGTTAAGAGTTGGTATAAAATATATATAAGCCACTATAAATAATTACCTGCTGTTTATATATTTTAAATGTGCCAATATGTCACCTACTGACTTATTGCATGTGTTTTTCTTAGATACTAATTTAATTTTGAAATAATAGTTTAACTTTGTAATAATATTTTAATTTTGGACTATGCCCATAGTCCATATATGTATAATATATTATGTTGTATTATTTATTTTTTATTATAAATTATTCTTTAAAACTTATTACTGTATAAATTAATTAATTTTCATTGTTATTATTTTATGTTGTTTACTCTTTTGATTTTTTATTTATTATTATTATTTTAAATTATTGTTGGTTAAGATATTCTGTTTTCATTATAACACTTAAGTATATCTATTAATATGTATGTACATATATTATTAAATTACATAAAGTAATTTATTTTATATATTAAATTTTTGTTATTTCACTATATAAAATTTTTATAGTTATTAAAATATTTATATATTATTCTAATATTTTAAAATTTTTTTGTGGATTTTGAAAGTTCAACAATTTGTTCAATAAATGAGCAACAATTTTGGAAACACATCAAATATTTAAATTTATTTTTATAATTATTTATTATTTTTATTTCTGTTAAATATATCTTGTTTTCTTTTAATTTTTTCTGAGCCTTTCATCAGTGCGGATTATATTAGTAATAAAAAAACACAAAACTTTCTTTTAGTAAAAAATTTACAAAAAGTATTATATATCTTTATAAGTTAAAACAAACAGTATTATAAACAGTATTATAAACAGTTATAAGTTACAAACAGTATTATATATATTTTTTAAGTATATGTGAACTAAATTTGAAAAAGATATATTACATGTTCAATATTTTATACAATTTTTTAATTTTTTCCACAACCCTTATTGAAATATTATTTGTTAATTACTAATTTTTATGTAATAATCTGGTTATTATATTTTAAATTTTTTTATTATAAATATATATCATAATGTAATCATAAATTTTTATTATCCTAATATTATAATTAAAGTTTTTTGCTTTAATGTAATTAAACTATTTTTAAATAATTATTTAAATATTTTTCTTTAAATTTAATTTATTATATATTTTCTAACCTTTTTTCCATTTTAAATTTATGTTTATTGAAATAATTCTAATTTAATGAATCCATTATTTTATCAATTAATAAAATAATCATTTGCATTTTCCAGATCATTTGTACCTCCGGTACGTGACGAAGAGAGTGAAACTCAACGAAAGGCACATGCTAAGCGTGTAAGGGAAACCCGTCGTTCCACTCAAGGTGTTACTCTTGATGAAATAAAAAGTGCTGAAGAATTGGTCAAAAAGAAAAATTCAACTATGAATAATAATAATAATAGCAGCAATGTAAGTTCTATTATTATTTTTAAATTAACGTTTATTTTTATTAAATTAAAAAAAAATCAACTGAAATTATACCATACCAAATTGGCTGTAGATTTTAATTATTATATTGAAAGAAAGTTCTTGTTTTATAAAGAAGTGATTTCATTGTCAAACATCCTATACACACCACCACCACCACACCATCGTCCCGCAAAAGTATCTGTCCTTATCCACCTCATGTTACACCAAAGCTGCTTTGGAAGAGGTGTTGTTGCTGTTTAATGTTATATGGTTTTTATGTATTTATGTTAACTTTAGACTTTTATTAAGTATGTTTTTTTTTATATTAATAATCACCCGTCGTATTGTAGTATCCGAACCCAAAAAACAACACCACACAACACTTTTGGAATTTGTGGTATCACTTTTTACCAGGTTTTGGAATTTTATATATTTCATTTATTATTTTATGCTCTTAAATACTATATATGAAAATTTTTGTATTTTGTTATATTTTTGATAAACCTGGAAAACAAACTATTCATTTTTAAAACAGGACATTTCTATAACCATTTTATCTACCAACAAACATCTTCATGCTTTCAAATCAAGTTCGATAATTATTTTTTTTTTGTTAAATTAACCTTAAAAGCGTTTTTGCTGCCAGCTACGAAAAATTATAAATTAAAAGACTGAAAAGATATTTGCGCTGTTATTATGCTACTTACTAAGAAAAGTATTTTTAAAACCACATTACTTTATATATAAATTTTATTGACTGTTAAACAATTTTAATTTATTGATTATCTTAGAACTGTAGTAATATTAATGATAGTTACTAGTCGTACTATTTAAAAATATATTGAAAAGTTATGTAAAATATCTAAAATTCATAGAATAATATATTTAGAGGAATGTGCTTCTGTACATCCAACATCATTCTGCACATCAGCCACATATTAGTAAAGTATACAAAATTAGACTTTACATGTATGAATATATATATATGATATATATATATGATATATATATATGATATATATATATGATATATATTTATGATATATATATATGATATATATTTATGATATATATATATATGATATATATTTATGATATATATGAATATATATAATGTTAAACTGTTCCTAAAACTGAAGGTTACAGTTTTTCCCAAATCTCTTAAGAGTATGATTATTTAATTAAAAAAATTTCTTATTTTGCCCAACATATTTTAAATGATATAAGTAATGGGTTAGTTTTTTTATGTTATATATTGTATATTTAAATGTTACTTCTTATTTGTTTATTGTTTTCATATATTGAATTATTAGTATGTTGTGTAGGTTTGATATATATGTATGAGTAATAAGTAATAAAATAGCACTGAGTTGTTTTGTTTCTTCTAAGTGAAAACTTAGATTATTTGTTTTAAAATTGATATATGGTAAATTTATAAATATTTAGCAAGAAACGTCCCAATTTGTACAGAAATGAAATTGTCTACATTTTTTATAGCATGTGAAATAAAAAATGTTGCATGATTGTTTATATATTCATGTGTCACAACTATCTTTCTATCATTTGGCTTAAAAAGAAGTTTACCTACAAATTAAGTTTTAAAAAATTTTCTTTTAAGCCATCTTTTAAACGATATTAAATAAATATAGTATTTTATTTAATTATTATGATGTCGTTAAGCAATAGTAGCCAAATTTATTTTTGTTAAATTCAAAATTATTAACACAGAATGATATGCAAACTACTACAACAACATTACAACAACAGCTATCACAAGAAGACCAACAACCACCAGCGCCTACAACACCACCACCAACAATAGACACAACTACAGTTACATCTACAACGATATCGACTCCTCAATCTACGGAAATTGCAACTGTTTTCGATGTTCAATCTGTAAAAATTGAAGAAGACTCAAAAATCGATGATGATATATCTGCTAGTTTTACAATAGTTGCACCCATTATAAGACCTCGTACACTTTCAATTAGTTCAATCAATGACGATAGCGATGGTAACGAGGATAATGACGTTAGTACTACATTTACTATGACATCGCGCCATTCACAAGCACATCCATCACCAACTGAATCGGTTGAAACAACAATTGTCGTTACACCGCCAATAATAACGATTAACGAATCGCAAGATGTAGAAAAGGATATGAAATTTATAGAAGAGAACAGCAATACATTTGCATCGCATAATAAAGAAAACGAAAACAACGAAAATAAAAAGACTGATAATTCTGAAAATCAAATTAAAACCGCCACACCTACTATCATTACTGCAGTATCGTCATCAGAAAAATCCGATGAATTACCTAAACAACCAGAATCTCCATCGTTAGAACGATTACGTAATATTGGTGCTTTTAGTCCGCTACCATTGCAATCACATGAAACTGTTAATAGTAATGTATCGATAACGTCTGCTAGTAGCACTACAACAACTCCTATACTTGATAGCCCAGTGCGCATGCGGGACAAGCGTTCGCTCTTCGAACTCGATAATGCAAGTTCACTGTCTTTGGCAGAGAAGCTACGCAATGAAGCTAATAAATACTCAAACGAAGAACAAAAAAGTCCCATTAGTGCTGGTGTTATCACTAGCGATATTGATCGAGATACAGTATTCAGTAATTTTAGTAGTCGACGAAGTCTTGATTCTGCCTCTTTGCCATCATCTCCACTGCATAGCAAAGAAAGCGCACCTAGCAGTGTAAGCAGCAATAGTAGTGGCGCTGTTGGAACAACGACGGAACGAAGACCATCGTGGCGTTTGAAATTCGATGCAGGTTGTAAGGTATGAATAATCGTCTTGAAAATCATTCAGAAAATGTATGAATATTTTTAGAACTTTTGCGCTCGCTCCCGTAAATTAATGCATTTCGGTGCTCATGCGTAAACGTCAATTTTTGTATAATATAAATGTATTCGTATATATTATATGTATATATATATTATATATATATATAAAATAATATAAATTTTAATATAATAATAGCGTTAGTATTACCGCCACTACCAACATATCCACTATCATCATTACCAAACGCCAATCATATTATTTTCTTATATTTATTAAAATTGTGTTCTTTTATTGTTAATATGTAGTTTTATTTTGTAATTGTGTATATTTTTGATGATTTCATTTTTGAGTTTTTATATACAAAAAATGGATTTAAGGGCATCCACAAATTTTTGAAAAAAAACTTTTTTGTTTTAAAATTTTTATTTTTATAATTGGTGTTTTGTGATTTATTAGACTTTCAATTTATGGTTTAAAATAATTAATTAAATAATATATGTATACAATATGTAAGCTTTTTATTATTATTAATTTATTTTTAATGTGCTCAATATGCTTTTCATTAATATTTAAATTTATATGTTGTATTTGATTTTATGCATAGATCGCTTTTTATTAATTTTGTAACTGCATTATCTCATATTTCACTTGTTTCATGTTTGCACTCATATCGTAAATGTTGTAGTATTTGTTGGTTTTTTTTATACATAAACATATTTTGTAATGTTTCCTTTTATTTATTTGACTTCATTGAAACATTGTGTAAATAGGATATAACTTCAGTGATAAATAGGTTGTTTCTTCATATTATACAATATTATGTATTTATTATTAAGTTGATAAGTTTATTATTTTTTAATCCCCTTGTCTTAGGAGTAAATACTATACTACGTATAGTACATAAATATTATGTAATGCAGATACATAGCATCTTTATCATAAACTAAAATATATATAGTCGGAGTTCTCTAGAATAAACCTATCTATAGTGAAAACTTCTCTGTAATGAAGTTCATTTTAAGGCATCTAATATATTTCTTTCAATTCTTTATATAACTAATATCTCCATAGCCAATGTGTAGTTATAGGCACATTATACTATGTTCAAACAGCCAAATTTCCTTAATTTCGTAAAAATAAAATTAAGTTAATTTCGAAAGCGTTTATACTGCTCCAAATTAAGAAAAGGAATAAGTTTTTTGTTTACAAATCGAATGTTGAAAATTATATGCTCAAAACATCATTTGTATCTGGAAAATATTAAAAGTTGATTATTATAACTATAAAGGATGGCATTCAGTAGTTTTATTAGCTTTAGTGGATTTCACGTATGTGAATTATTATTTTTCACTCTATTTTAAATTAATAACAGTTACAGTTTTTACTCTAAATTCAAATTTAAAAATTTCCACTACTTTCCTGGTTTTATTAAACTCAACTGTCACTATAATTTATTTAAAAAAAAACTTCGTTATCTCAACTTTATCTTTTGCTTAAAATTTATCTTACGCATAGTTGCATTTAAATGTCCCTTAATATCAGACTTCGTTTAAACGAATTTGAGGCCATTTTCCTTAATTTCGTTCTAAGCTTAAAGCTGAATTTCGTATGGAAAAAACAATTTAATTTCGCTAAAACGTAGATGACATTAAGATTTTTGCGAAATTGAGGTGTGTGTGTGAATATAGCATAAATCTAGTACGGAAATAGATTTAGTCTATTTAAATATATATAAACAAATATAAATAACATATTTGCATCGCATTTTTAGCCATTATTAGAAAAGTAATAAAATTCTAGGCCAAGGAAAAGATTTTTTGATAGTACAAATATAGGCGATGCTATAGATAAGAGTCACAAAACAGTAAATCTTCTTATTTATTGATACTTTATAAAATAAAGACGAGAGAATTTGTCGAAGCATTATGTCATACAGATTTCAAAGCAAGTAAAGGATAGTTACACAAATTAAAATAATATCATAATATTATATCATCGGGAAAGGTTTTCAAGTGACGTGAATTAAGAAATTTTGATAAAAATATCAAAAATTCTGCCATATATAAAAGACGATTTTATTTCTTTTTTCGATTTTTTTATGCGTATGTTAATATGTATAAGTTTGATTAAATACATTTTTAAAATAATACATAGTTTACAAATTGCTATAAAAGCATATAGTCTTAAAATGATTTTTCAAGAAGTGACTACTTAAAAGAGCAATTTGTAACCAATTGCTATTTTTATAGTCTTCATTATACATTTTATGTTGTAAATATGAAAGAAAACATAAGTAATGATCTATTATAGAATATATATTTAACAATTCTTCGCTAACCGATATAAATTGTATGCATTATACAACAATAATACAAATAAATATTTAATTGTGAAGCTTATGTACCTACACTCTGACTAGGAGCACAAATGTAAATATTATTATTGTGATTATTATTTGTATTATACTAGAATTGTATATAAATTGGCAAGAAAATAATAATAAAATTATTTTATTTTAATCTCATATGTATATATATCGTATATGTATATATATCGTATATGTACAATCATATGCGCTATTTTCGTACAAGCACATATAGATTTAATAATCAGTTTCTATATGGATATTAGCACATATACAAAATAATATATATCCTGTATCCTGCTTAATTCATTGGTATCAATTCCAAATTTGTTTATTCCTTTTTTTCATTTATGCTCATATATCAGGTCCACCAGATGCAATTAAAAATAAGTTGATATAATATAGTATATTTAAATTATTAATTTAATTAACAGCTAAACGCTCTTCTTGTATAATTTGTTCATCTTTGAAAAAAAAAAGTCAATAACTATATGTCTGTTGTTCATAAAGTAATGCTATTGGAGAATAAATCCACCTACCTTTGGCAAAGTAAGAAGTGTGTAAAGGTGCTCTTATATAGTAATGTAACTGATATAACATCAGATTAAATTTACATATGCGCAAAATGAATTTGGAGATCCATCATACAATATAGAAATATGTATATGGATTTGATTTTATATCAAAATTAGCATTTTAAAATATAGTAGATTAAGTAGAAAAGGGTAATGAAACTCTGGCAGTTATTCTTGCTTTGAAATTATAAATCTCGTGCTATGTGTATTGTTAGTTATTTTGTTTATTTTGCTGCATAAGTATATAAAAACATTCTGATTATAAAATCCTTAAATAAAGTATTGTATATATTCATAAATAAAAAATTGATTTATTGACGTAAAGGGTGAATGTATATTACATATATAAATTATGCTCTAATATAAGAAACATATGTATAAAAATATTTGGTTGTGGAAAAAAATTCAAAATCATTTAAGAATTGTTTTCTTTTTTTTAATAAGATATATTTCAATGATCCTATTTATGCATTTAAAAAACTCCATTATTGATTATAATAATTTAATATTCTAATAAAATCGTGTCTTCAAATTGCTTGAAGATATGCACTTTGTAGTCATCTAACCATTGTATGAATACTTACTTGATATATGCCCCTTAACAGTGAACTAGTACAACATGCAAAAAAAAACATTACCCTATAAAATGTAAAAATTATAAATTGTACAACAACTGCAAGCAATATTTTCTAAATTAATAAATATTTATGTAATATTTAAAAATATAGTTCAAATTGGAAGATGCCAGCACTGGTACCACATTTCCGCCTAATAATAGCACAATAATACCAAGTGCGCCAGCAGTTATTGCAGCAGCGAATCTATCATCAGCATCGCAACGTCGAATTGGTGGTACGGGTGGCTCATGTAAGTACTTTGATAATATTTAATATATATATAAAATAATAAACATCTTATATGTAATTTAAATTTATTTTTACAGTAACTTCTTCAAATCAATCACTTAATTCAATTGGCAGACCAGTGTCGGCGCCCGTGAATAGTATAAGTTTAAATGCAAACGAAAATAATAGCAATGATAAAACCACCGATAATAGCACTACCATTAGTTCCATCAGAAGACCTGTATCAATTTCAAATACAACCTTAGTATCTTCTGGAAGTGCTACTTCAACAGTATCAACAGCATCAACAGCCTCGTCAACAACATCGAACGCAATTAGTAAAAGCAGTGATGATAAAGGTATGGTTTTTAAAAGAAATTTATTTCCTATATATAAATTACTATTATATATAAATGAATTGAATTTACAGATAATGATAAGGAAAATGATAATAGAACAACACAAGCTGCTATACAAAGAAGAAGAAAACCAAAACGTAGATCAACAGGAGTTGTACATCTAGATATGGATGTAAGTATCTCAAAATATATAATATTTTAAAATATTTTAAGTATTTTAAGTATTTTAATTAGTTTAATATAATATGTTTTAATAAAAATTAATAAATAAATTATATTGTTACAGGATCTCGATCCAGAACGACAAGATTCTGCAAATGATACTGAAGAGAAAGAGGTATGTATAAACCTTGTATACTGAATCTTTTAAGTAATTTATGACACATTTTTTTTACAAAAACAACAACAATATAAATATTTTTCAATGAGCAATTGGCGTTGTTTCAAAATAATAAATTTTTCAGTTTATAAACATTTTCAGCATTTTTAGTTCTCAATTATAACTAGAAAAACGTGTCAGTTTGATTTTTCACTAATTACGTTTTCTATTAGTGTTACTTTTCTTCAAGGTGTTGTGCAAATATCTGCTTAATGACCTAATTTTACCTATATTTTCTTTCTACTTTAATATGTTTAATAATTATTTTTTATACAAATTTTACACAACTATATTTTTCATTTCAAAAGTTTATTTATGACATAAAAACCATTAACCTATTTACGTATTGAAATAGTTGCAATCTTAATGTCTTTAATTCGTTTTTATATATTTATTTGGTTTTAATTATTTATTGTAAAAAAATTTATTTCTGTATATACTTTTAATAGTTCTATATTCTGTAACAACAATACTTTTATCTAAATTAGTGAACATACAAATTAATGTACATAATGATTGCTACGTACATTAATTCTATTAAAGATAATGTTGTTATGAAAATTATTCGGATAATATTCCGATATATTCCGTTAATTATTCCGATATAAATTTGGTTTTTTTCTGAATCGAAGGTGAACGAACGCAGAAAATGATTTTAGAATATTTGTTATTAATATATAATAAATTGAGAACGCTCGCGTAAACAGATAATGAACTATATTCAAGATTTAGTAAGACCTATTAAGAAATTATACAATTATAGCAAAAAGTAGGAAGCAACTTAAGGATATTGTAGAGAAAAAGAGGACTCACTCATTGTTTTTTTTCATTCCCTTTATTTAGGTTTTAAATCTTTGATCATGAATCTCTTCCCATGCATGTATGATCTTTAGCAAAAAAAAAATGTCATGAATCCTACCCATAGGCTCTCCTTTGATCTATACTCCGAGTAGTTAAACTGAAACACAATGATGTTAGCATATTATATATCCATATATATATAATTGTATTAAATGCAAAAGTGGTATGTTATCGTTGTAGTAACCCAAAGGGCTTGTAGAGAATGTGGCATACTCTTGTAACTAGAGGGAACCTAAAGAGAAAGAAATACGAATTGATTATAAAACAATGAGGAGGTTAAGATGGGGTGTAAAGAAAACAAAAATAAAGGGTGTTGTGTAGCATTGTTTCCTCTGACTACTTCAAAGTTTTTTTTTTTTAATCTTACACCCAAAAGCAACCACTTTTTTAACTAAATATGTTTAGTGGCCAAACTTCGCATCCATAAATTAAAAATGAACAGACTAAGGTTTTATATATATGTAATTTCAGCGATTGCACAATTTTATTGTAGTTGTAACCAACTAACGACTTGAAACTGAACACGTAAAAGGTTGACAATATACTATATAATGAGTGAAGATGAGGTTATGTTATATTGAGTGTGAGATAAGAGAATGGACAAGAAGAAGCACAACTTCGAACGTTATAGTTGGCGGATGTGATACCACCTGTGCTTTTAAAGTACTGTACTGTTTTCTAAATATCGTGTCTTTTTTCTTGAATTTTATTTTAACTCTGTGTTACTGTTTTCATTTTAATAATTTTTTTTTGTTTATTATTTAAATGATAATTTACACAAGTTGTGAGAATCGTATGACCCAAAAACCTATGCAAACCAATATATTTTTTTTTTGTTAATTAATTTTAATTTAATGACAAACATACTTTTTGAACCTTCTAAACTTAATAGCTATTATAAATCCATTATAAATTCGAATAAAGCGCAAAATAATAAAAAAATATTATTTTTAAATTAATCATTTAACATTGAATTTCTGATTTCTGTTCTTCTAGATAAATATTATTAATCCTTTCAAGACTAAGGTCACAGCTATCAGAGCAAGAATCAAGTTTAAAAATTATTGCAATAAAAATGTTTATTTCGGCAATTTTATTCATTTAGAATATATATTTTTGGCATGTACAGTGCAAACCTGTTAACCATTTATTTTTAATTCAGGTGTCACATGTGGCGGTTCATTTTGTTTATTTTATGCTAATAATTGCCTTTCACAAATATGTACACTTACTTTCTAGACATTTTTAAATAATTTTTTTTATATTTAAAAATACTGCGAAAATTCGTTTTTCACTAGCAGAGCTAGATTGATGCACTCAACTGCAATCGCTTTCGTTTTCGCAGCATTGAATAATAGATTTATGTGCATTTAAACTATGCCAAACTAATAAAACTATTTACAATTATCGTATTTTAATTTTTATTTAATTATTCATTAATTAAACTATTAAATGTTTCCATTAAAAACGTTGTTATTTTGTGAAATTTTTAAAAAGTTTATTTTTAAAAAATATATTTACATATTTGTAAAATAATTTTTAATTACTTTATTACAATAAAATTATACTATTAGTTGAACTTAAAAAAATCTTATTTTCTTATATTAAGTTCAATGAACTTCTTTCTTCTTATTTGGCACTACAGTCCAGTATGAATCTTGGCCTCCCTCACGATCTGCCTCCATCTGTCCCTATCTTCTGCTACTCTCTTCCAGTTCAGTACTGCAATCGTTCTTGCATCACTATACACCTTCTCATCCCATCTTGTTCGTGGCCTACGTCTGTGCCTGGTTGTCTTCGGCTTTGCGTTGAATATGCTGTTCGACTTTCTCTCCGATCCCATTCTTATTACATGAGCAACCCATTGTAACCTTTGCGACTTAATGTATCTCACTATATTTTCTTCAATTTCATTATTTGTTCGTCTTTGAAAAGTTTCTGGATCAATTTGGATTAGCCCGTAGATTTGGCGAACTATTTTTCTTTCAAAAATTTTTAAAGCTTCTTCGTCTGCCTTTGTCTTTGTCCATGTTTCTGAGCCATATGTAACTACCGGTCTTATTATTGTCTTGTACATTCGTAGCTTACTTTTCTTGGGTAGTAGTCTTGATTTCATTAAGTCTAAATATTTGTAAAAACATCTATTTACTGCTTGTAGTTCAATGAACTTATAAATTTTAATAACAAAAATTATAAATAGTCAAATAACTTTATAATGTGTCTTAAAAAAGAATTCTTAAAATCTTGAGATACAAGGAAGTATCTCATAAATAATTTTCCAATTAATAAGATATACATTTCTGCTTTAAAGTGTTCTATGCCAGCATCTAACAACTTTTTGTACAAATAAAATTTGCTATAGGTTGTAATATTTTTATATTTTTTCTTAGAAAATTCTATAAAATTTTGAAAACGTCACAATTTCTCCATTTCCTTAAAGTTGCAAATGCAGTTTCCTTGTATCTATTTTTGATATTTTATGGACGTATATGTGTGCCAATTGTCGTTCCCCTTACGCAAAGTAAATATAGATCATTGTCTCGAAACTCTGGGATGATCGTAAAAATAGTATTTGTTGTGTCTTTTTACGATGTATTCTGGTTCCAAATTTTAAATTTATGTTTTGATGACGTTAACCTATTCACCTTTTGCTCTGCATTTAATTTAAATAAAATTTTTGTGTTTCAAATAAATCAGTAAAAACAAAAATAATATTTTATTCAAATTTGTTTAAACTGTAATTTTTATATTTTTTATTTATATTATAAAGGAAATTTTTTTTTTATTTGAATTTGTATGTATTATGTTATATAGTATTTTACAATTTTATCTTGTTTAAATATGTCATAAGTTATATAGAACCACGTCAAATATTGCAACCTTCGAATATTGCAGTTCTTTATTTATTCCAATCACTTCAATTTTCCTTACTGCGTAAAATGAAACTTTTGTAAATTTTTTCCTATTCCCCCTAACATTCTTACAAAAGGACAACATAATGAAAATTCAAGAAATTTCTTGAAATTGTGACCGATAATGTTATTTCCCAACAAGAAACGAATGCATGGTTCAACAAAATTGTTATAAAAATTATATATATCACTGATTTAGTGACGTTAAGTGATTAAGTGAAATTATATTTAAACCCAAAAATGCTGCCAGTATAATAATTCCAAATATGTTGTTAAAATCTTGACTCTTATATATCTAAAAAAATATGGTAATGATAATAAGAACGATTAATCTTGATGGTACTAAAAACAAGTTTAAAGTTAAACTCAATTATACAATACTCTTAGATTTTATTAGTTGTACTCTTTGTGGTAATACTGTATACTATAACATATAGGTATTTCCAATAATTTTATATGATGAAATTTTTATTAATTTAATTCTAAATTTTAGTTAAAATATTTTGTAATCTAAATTTTAAGTATTCATTAGAATGGATGTATGTTTATTCAGTCTTATACATTTTTATTACTTTCAATTTTAGAAATTCACGTTAAATAATTTCGGGCTTTATTATTTAGTCATAAAATAAGAGCTTTACTGCAACAATTTATTTCACTTTGTAGTGTTCTTAGAAAATGCTTAAGTAATTAAATAATATATATATGATTATATATGCTTTTATAAATAAATCAAATTGGTTAAAAGTGCTTTGTGTTAGATAAGTGATATCTTGGTTTCAGAAAAAAAAATCATTTAACTGGGAGGGAACCATTTTCAATATTTACTAAGATATAGGTTGTAAAAATAGTTTATTTAAATATATTAATTTGATGATCAACATATTTTTGTATTTAAATATATTCAGAAATTATATTTTTAAGTTGATTATTTTATATCTATTTCTGTTTCAATTTTTGTACATAAATAACTTATGTTGCAAACATTTTTTGTTAAGATTACTTTCTCTATTTTGCATGCCTTTTAACAATCGTTTTTAGAAGGAATATAACCAAACTTTTCTTTAACAAAAATTCACAAACTCCCTAGGACATGTAAGGAATAAGGAATAACGAAAATGGTGGCAGTATTGTTAAAAAATGGAGCAGATTGAATGCTTGAAAGCACGATTACAGAAAATCGTT